AGTGTGTGTGTGTGTGTGTGTGTGTGTGTGTGTGTGTGTGTGTGTGTGTGTGTGTGTGTGTGTGTGTGTGTGTTGTGTATGTGTGTGTGTGTACAAACCTAGTCGTACTTGCAGGGGGGGGTTGAGCTTCGGCTCTTTGGATAGATGTATTTGTGTCTGTATGTATGACTGAGGAAAGATATACGGGTTTCGCAAGTGGGCACGTTACTCCTTCCAGATGATTCCTGGGGGGATGAGACCCCACGTGAAGGAACAGTGCCCAACCACTTGGACCATCGTGGGGATCGAACACCGACCTTGCAAGGAGATCGGGGAAAAGGCCAGAGATCTAGGGGGAGGGAATCTAGGAAATCCGTTTCTAAGCATCTTGTCCTTGTGTGAGTCGTGTGCCTTAATATGTTACCTGGAGCAGGCAAGGCCGCCCACACCCCCACCCGTCGCACCCTTTGTGGGCGGCCAAGGTCACGCTATCTCACGCCCACACCCCTATACGCCCCCCCCTACCCCCCCGGTGCCAATATATGCCTCTTTCTTGCGTCTCTGGGGGGGAAGGAGGGAGCGAGTGGCGTTATCTTGAGGTTATCTTGAGATGATTTCGGGGCTTTAGTGTCACCGCGGCCCGGTCCTCGACCAGGCCTCCACCCCCCAGGAAGCAGCCCGTGACAGCTGACTAACACCCAGGTACTTATTTTACTGCTAGCTAACAGGAGCATAGGGTGAAAGAAACTCTGCCCATTGGGGATTTTAATCGGCGTTATTTGATTTAATATTATATGTAACTTTGTATTGATCCGAATAATGTCTTATTAAGGATCAATACAGTCCTGGAAGCCTTTCCAGAATCCAGGACATCAAGCAATCATCAAGCATTAACGCCGCCAGTTACGAAACCTGTACATCTTTCCTCAATCATATCAGCTTTGTTTGCATGTTATACAGTTTACGAGCTGGGAAACCCCCCCCCCCACAATCCGAGGTTATTGTTGTTATAAACAACCTCGAATATAGTGCTTCCGTGCTTATAAAAATATTTAATAAATGTAAACACAGCCGCCATGATTGAGGAAAGATGAACAGGTTTCGTAAATGGTTGATGAATCTCTGGCATACGCTTGGATAGAGAGATGAGTGAAGGATAGGTAGAATAGGAAGTAAGGAATGATTGACGAGAGAGGAAGAGATGAATGCTCTACTGGAGATGAAGGCAACCAAGATGCTAGGATGCTGGAACCCTCCCCCCCCAATCCCCCAACCTCCCACCCCTCTCACTCTCACAGCTGTCAGTCCGTCCGCTCCGACAAGGCTATTTGGCTAGGAAGTAAAGCAAGGAACTAGCCGAGAGCATAGCTAAAGGATAGGTTGTCTCAGAGACGTCAGCATTCATTACTAACCTCCAAGAAAGCACTTAATTCATTCATTCCGTCGTGAAGAGATATAGGCTCTGTCCTATCCACCGTACCTGTCTGTCATTAGTGGAGTGGTGTCTGGCATAGAGGCGGATAGTAATGTGCCTACGTCAACATGTTCCCTATCCATCGTTTGCCGTTGAGGGCTAGAACAGATTGTTAGTTAAATGGTTAGGCGTTGAAGGCTTCAGCCGAGGCCTACGAGGTCAGGTCAGGTCAGGTCAGATTACGTCAGGTCAAATTAAGTCAGGTCAATAAATCCTCAAGGCCCGTGATGAGGGTTCGAACTTACGTCCAGGATGACGTAAAACTTAAAATCAGACTTAAAATATGCGAAACAGTTGCTCCTACCTCACCATGGGTGGCCCACAATAGGAAACGAACCCGAGAGGAGAGGTACCTATAACTGATACCCAACTGAGACTTTAAAAAAAAAAAACCACACACCCCTGGAGCACTGCTGTGGTATCAGAGAGGGTAAGGGGGGGGGGAGGGGAGGTGTAATCCACCACTTCATCCAGGTCATACAGTTGCAATCCACGCTATTGTGGATTTTTTTTTTTTTTTTTGTAACAATGGATCATTTTTCGGCGTTTTTTCCCGGTCGTGTTTCATAAGTATTCAATCATTTTTGTTTCTTCAGCCTTGTTCTGGTGACGGGATAGTGTCACAATATTTTATATATATATATATATTTTTTTTAAACGTTAACTATTTTTTCAATTTATTTCTGGTAAACAAAAAAATTGTAATATTTTTTAGTGATAATTGTTTAATTAAATGCCACTTTTAACATTATTCTTTAAATTCCTTTCATTCTTATCGTTATATATATATATAATATATATATATATATATATATATATATATATATATATATATATATATATATATATATATATATATATATATATATATATTCTTTCATTGTTATTGTATTTTCTTGATAGTGGGCAAAATGGTGTATGACAGGATGTATTATTGAGGGTGTTGTAGTGAGGTCTTGTGCAGTGTAAACTATCAGGTGGTTGGGTAGTTAGTGCTCGGGTTGTTGAACAGTGATTGGCAGCTCGTAGTACATGACTTGGTGGTAGCAGTTGACAGTGACAATGTGACTGACCATTTGCAACAAACACACACACAGAGGCTGACCACCTTGCAACAAACACACACAGAGGCTGACCACCTTGCAACAAACACACAAACAGAGGCTGACCACCTTGCAACAAACACACACAGAGGCTGACCACCTTGCAACAAACACACACACAGGCTGACCACCTTGCAACAAACACACACACACAGAGGCTGACCACCTTGCAACAAACACACACACACACAGAGGCTGACCACCTTGCAACAAACACACACACACAGAGGCTGACCACCTTGCAACAAACACACACACAGAGGCTGACCACCTTGCAACAAACACACACACACAGAGGCTGACCACCTTGCAACAAACACACACACACAGAGGCTGACCACCTTGCAACAAACACACACACAGAGGCTGACCACCTTGCAACAAACACACACACAGAGGCTGACCACCTTGCAACAAACACACACACAGAGGCTGACCACCTTGCAACAAACACACACACACAGAGGCTGACCACCTTGCAACAAACAAACACACACACAGGCTGACCACCTTGCAACAAACACACACACAGGCTGACCACCTTGCAACAAACACACACACACAGAGGCTGACCACCTTGCAACAAACACACACAGAGGCTGACCACCTTGCAACAAACACACACACACACACAGAAGCTGACCACCTTGCAACAAACACACACACAGAGGCTGACCACCTTGCAACAAACACACACACAGAGGCTGACCACCTTGCAACAAACACACACACACACACAGAGGCTGACCACCTTGCAACAAACAAACACACATACAGGCTGACCACCTTGCAACAAACACACACACACAGAGGCTGACCACCTTGCAACAAACACACACACACACACAGAGGCTGACCACCTTGCAACAAACACACACACACACACACATAGGCTGACCACCTTGCAACAAACACACACACACAGAGGCTGACCACCTTGCAACAAACACACACACACACAGAGGCTGACCACCTTGCAACAAACACACACACACACAGAGGCTGACCACCTTGCAACAAACACACACACACACAGAGGCTGACCACCTTGCAACAAACACACACACACAGAGGCTGACCACCTTGCAACAAACACACACACACACAGAGGCTGACCACCTTGCAACAAACACACACACAGAGGCTGACCACCTTGCAACACACACACACACAGAGGCTGACCACCTTGCAACAAACACACACACAGAGGCTGACCACCTTGCAACACACACACACACAGAGGCTGACCACCTTGCAACACACACACACACACAGAGGCTGACCACCTTGCAACAAACACACACACACACAGAGGCTGACCACCTTGCAACAAACACACACACAGAGAGTGACCACCTTGCAACAAACACACACACACACAGAGGCTGACCACCTTGCAACAAACACACACACACACAGAGACTGACCACCTTGCAACACACACACACACAGAGGCTGACCACCTTGCAACACACACACACACAGAGGCTGACCACCTTGCAACACACACACACACACACAGAGGTTGACCACCTAGCAACAAACACACACACACAGAGACTGACCACCTTGCAACAAACACACACACAGAGAGTGACCACCTTGCAACAAACACACACACAGAGAGTGACCACCTTGCAACAAACACACACACAGAGAGTGACCACCTTGCAACAAACACACACACACAGAGTGACCACCTTGCAACAAACACACACACACACACAGAGACTGACCACCTTGCAACAAACACAGAGCGTGACCTTGAAGAGCTCGCCACAAACCAGTTAACCCTCGTTACACGACGCTTTCAAACTACTGATGGTGTTGACACCCACCTCCCCGTCTCACTCTTAACTTGTTCCAACCCTGTATGTTCCTATAATACTATAATAATTATTATATTATTGTTATAATCCAAGATATCCTATATCCTATATGTGTGTATATTAGTTATAAACACACACCACATGACACAGGGGGGATGTGTGTGTGTGTGTGTGTGTGTGTGTGTGTGTGTGTGCGCGCACGCGCGGGTCGTAGATAGTGACCATATCAACTTAACTAAGTGAACCACCATTCGCGGCTTACCTTAGCAAACAACCATTACCAAAACCAACGGTGGACCCCCAACCCCTCAACCCCCCCCCCCCCTTTCCTCTCCCCTTCAGATAAGACAGAAAGCTTTCCCATCAAGGTGTTAATGACCCTCCCTCCCCCCCCCCCCATTACACCTAAACCCCCTCTCCAACCCTCCCTCCCCCCCCCAACCCCATCACCTTCAAGGGTTGCAAGTGGCAGTTAGCCCCATGTCCCCACCAACAGTGCAACAAGAACCTCCCGCACCCCCGTAGTATTGGAAACAGTTCCTCAGTGGGTATTCTTGATCTATCGGCTTCGCTACACTAAAATTACTCAATAGATATTTATCCCCAATAGACATCAGGAGTCTTAATTGATTGATCTAGCAAGATATACCTGAGGAAACACCTGGATATATACGTGGATAATATACATATATATATACACATATATATTTATATATATATATATACATCCTGTGAAGCGATGAGATCTCAGCATCCAGCAAGAACATCCATGGACCCGAGAGGTGGAGATGAGAAAGCATCATCCGTCGAGCAGGAAGATCCGCCGCCACGCGACGCCGCCGAAAGCTTCATGGAGACGTTCCGGACGCTCTTTGCAGTGGCCAGCTGCGTGGGCGTTCACGTTGTCACGCGTTCGAGGGACGGCGTGTACAGCGTGTCCCCCCTGAAGGTGGTGGCCGCGTGCGCTAGCCTGCTCGGGGTGACGCTACAATTAGCGTTCATCCTGGATTTCGTTTTCGTGATGGAGACGTCTTACGACCAACAGATGGTGCTGGCGGCGTTCTTTTTCAGCGTCAGTTTCTGTTTTTTCACTTACCTCGTGTGGATGAAGAAGTCCCACACTGTCATGGCGTTCCTGACGCAGGTGGATGGCAGTGGCATCACCGTGGACAAAAATCCGACCCTCCTGTACGTTATACTAGCCACTTTCGCATACTCTGGTACGTATACCACTTGCGTGTATATCATGCTGCCGCTTGACCAGCTCTCCTTCTTCTGGTTCGAGGAACTCAAGTATATCCTGGCGATACCTATCTTCTACACCTCCTTCATCCCGAGTCTCCTGGACCTGTACATAATGTCGTTCCTGAGTGTGGTAGTGGCTGGCCTCAGGGCGGTTGAGGTCAGGACCAAAGGAGTTGGTCTTTGGACCTCCACACACACCAGCGTCTTGGCCGGTTCCTGGCTTCGTCTCCTTAAGCTTCTTGATACTTTCAATGACGTAAGTATTCATATGGAATACACGTCGCGGGGCTGTGTGATAGGATCGAACGCGCGTGTCTGAACTCCTCAAGAGGTGGATATGATGCCGGAGCAGATGAGGACCTGGATCCTGTATATCTTTCCTTAATAACTGCAACTGTGTTTACAATTATTAAAAATTTAACGAGCTTGTAAAGTCCACAACCCGTAATTATTGTTGTCATAAACAACCTCGTATATAGTGCTTCGGTGCTCATATACTGCTTAATATATGTAAACACAGCCGCCATGATGGAGGAAAGATGCACAGGTTTCGTAATTGGTTGAGTAAATGCTTAATGAACCCAGGCCATGGGGGGGGGGGAGAGTTCATGTTATATGGCTCAATATTCATAGACTCATCCCGTGATTTCATTGTGTATTCACAACTCATTCACTGTGTATTGATGACATTAATTGTGTCTAACTCATTCACTGTGTATTGATGACATTAATTGTGTATAACTCATTCACTGTGTATTGATGACATTAATTGTGTATAACTCATTCACTGTGTATTGATGACATTAATTGTGTATAACTCATTCACTGTGTATTGATGACATTAATTGTGTATAACTCATTCACTGTGTATTGATGACATTAATTGTGTATAACTCATTCACTGTGTATTGATGACATTAATTGTGTATAACTCATTCACTGTGTATTGATGACATTAATTGTGTATAACTCATTCACTGTGTATTGATGACATTAATTGTGTATAACTCATTCACTGTCGATTGATGGCACTAATTGTGTCATTCAATAAGTCATTCATTTTATTGGTGTTCCGTGGTGTGGGTGGCCGTGGCTTGGGTGTCTCCGTGGTGTGGGTGGCCGTGGCTTGGGTGTCCCCGTGGTGTGGGTGGCCGTGGCTTGGGTGTCCCCGTGGTGTGGGTGGCCGTGGCTTGGGTGTCCCCGGGGTGTGGGTGGCCGTGGCTTGGGTGTCCCCGTGGTGTGGGTGGCCGTGGCTTGGGTGTCCCCGTGGTGTGGGTGGCCGTGGCTTGGGTGTCCCCGGGGTGTGGGTGGCCGTGGCTTGGGTGTCCCCGGGGTGTGGGTGGCCGTGGCTTGGGTGTCTCCGTGGTGTGGGTAGCTGTGGCTTGGGTGTCCCGGGGTGTGGGTGGCCGTGGCTTGGGTGTCCCCGTGGTGTGGGTGGCCGTGGCTTGGGTGTCTCCGTGGTGTGGGTGGCCGTGGCTTGGGTGTCCCGGGGTGTGGGTGGCCGTGGCTTGGGTGTCCCCGTGGTGTGGGTGGCCGTGGCTTGGGTGTCCCCGTGGTGTGGGTGGCCGTGGCTTGGGTGTCCCCGTGGTGTGGGTGGCCGTGGCTTGGGTGTCCCCGGGGTGTGGGTGGCCGTGGCTTGGGTGTCCCCGTGGTGTGGGTGGCCGTGGCTTGGGTGTCTCCGTGGTGTGGGTGGCCGTGGCTTGGGTGTCCCCGTGGTGTGGGTGGCCGTGGCTTGGGTGTCCCGGGGTGTGGGTGGCCGTGGCTTGGGTGTCCCCGTGGTGTGGGTGGCCGTGGCTTGGGTGTCCCCGTGGTGTGGGTGGCCGTGGCTTGGGTGTCTCCGTGGTGTGGGTGGCCGTGGCTTGGGTGTCCCCGTGGTGTGGGTGGCCGTGGCTTGGGTGTCCCCGTGGTGTGGGTGGCCGTGGCTTGGGTGTCCCCGTGGTGTGGGTGGCCGTGGCTTGGGTGTCCCCGTGGTGTGGGTGGCCGTGGCTTGGGTGTCCCCGTGGTGTGGGTGGCCGTGGCTTGGGTGTCCCCGGGGTGTGGGTGGCCGTGGCTTGGGTGTCCCCGTGGTGTGGGTGGCCGTGGCTTGGGTGTCCCCGGGGTGTGGGTGGCCGTGGCTTGGGTGTCCCCGTGGCGACATGTGTTTATTTTAGTCTGAGCAGATGTTCTGATGAAGTTATAGTGAGATATTGTTCATCTTTGGTGGCGACTGTTATGTGTACAACACCGCCCTACACACACACACACACACACACACACACACACACACACACATCAAACCAACGATAAACACATAGATAATAAGCCCTAACCCGCATAAAACACAGGCTCCAAGCACGTATACTGTGTCCACAGATATTCTCGTACTTGCTGCACGTACGCCAGCTGCTGTTTCTCGTGCAGGCGATCACCTTGCTGTTCTGCATGGCGTCGGTACAGCTGGAACAGCGCTGTGTGCTCTACTTCCTGCTGCTCCTTGGCTCCACGCTCGAGGTCGTCCTCCGCTTCTTCCTCGTCTGTGTGGCCGGAGACCGACTCCTGACGGCGGTAAGTCTCTGGACACAGTATGCCCCTGTTACCTAGCAGTAAAACAGGTACCTGGGTGTTAGTCAGCTGTCACGGGCTGTTTCCTGGGGGTGGAGGCCTGGTCGAGGACCGGGCCGCGGGGACACTAAAAACCCCCGAAATCATCTCAAGATAACCTCAAGATAACAGCCGCCATGATTGAGGAAAGATGTAAGGGTTTCGTAAGAGGTTGTGTAAATTCCTTATAAACTCTATCTCCTTGCCTTATAAACTCTATCTCCCTCGAGGTTAGTTGGTCGGGTCAACCAGGCTGTTGGACCAGATGTTCGCATGGTGAAGTACCCTTTGAAATCGTTCCTCAAGTTAATCTCAATAGGTTTTTTTTAACCTTCCAGCAGGAGGGAGTGTTGGAAGCCGTCCGCGATGTCCTGTGTGGCCGACGGACCTCAGCCTTCCACGCCCTCACCGCCCACCACACGGGACTCATGCCCCAAGCAACCACGAAGAGCCTGCTGGATCAAAAGAACGACGCTGGGATGAGGATTGATATAGGCGGCTTGGAACACTTGGGTCTTCACAATCTCCTCTGTAGGATGGAGTCCAAACCCCTCTGTGTCCTCACATGGGGTACTTCAAGGTCAGCGTCCCCACCTTGGGCACCTCATGCTGGGCATTTTGGACATAGTGAAGAAAATAGGCATATCCTTACCACTTCGATCCCCCTTTAAGAATCAGTGCACCAAAGAGGGAACATGAAAAATCCAGTATTTACCCAGGTCTTTCATATAGTAATAATAATAGTAAGAAGAAGGGGGATGGGAAAAAGACTTTCTTCACTACCCACTCAGCCACGATGAGCTCCAAGGAATCCTAAATAGAAGTACAGTCAGCCTTGTTGAGAGGTTTTTAAGACATCCACATGCCCCAGCCCATGTTTAGAGGTCTCCCTTGTCTATGGCCGCAGGTTCGATCCCCTTGTATAACCTTAATATATATCCCTTATTTGTTACATATCTTCCTGTGATTGAATTATACAATAATATTATTATTTAAGAATTTTTCATTTTTGTGTGTGTGGGGCTCATGAGGTGAAGGTTTTCCCACCTACAGGTTGAGTGGGAGGACCTTTGTGTCGTGTATGGGGATTGTGACGACCTTCCTGGTCGTTCTCCTGCAGCTGAGGCCCTATTTGAACCAGAACCAGCCCACCACCACCACCTGGTTCGGTCCCTTCGATGACAGCAACCTCTTCTGCTGCTTCCGGACCATGAAGTTCCAGCGACCCACCTGAAGAAGGAAGCGTTAGTTGCTAGTTGAGAGGAGGGTGGGTGGGTGAAGGGTGTGTGTGTGTGTGTGTGTTTGTGTGTGTGTGTGTGTGTGTTTGAGTGTGGATGAGTGTGTATGTGTGTGTGAGGGTCAGTGTGAGTGTGTGTAGATAAGCTTGAGACTCGTTCTACACGTGTTCCATACCTACAACACAGATGTTCTTCACGCTAGATTCCTCCCTATGTATACCTGCGTCTACATGAGTGTATACATGATCTTGACGTCAAGGTTCACCCCAGGCATTACAAAAAAGGGGGGAGGGAGGGAGGGAGTGGGGGGTGGGGGTGGTACCTGGGAGTTATAGACAACTGTTGTGGGGTTAAATCCTTGGGGTTGGGGGGGGGGGGAGAGAGAGAGGGTCGAATTTAAAGGTCAGAAGGATGTGTTAATATGTTTGATCTCACATATTTTTAACAACATTGTAAGATCTTGACGTCACTCTACCTCGTAAGAAGGTTTTCAACTTTTAACGTGTTGTTTTAAAGGTAATTTGAACTTTCTGTTTTCTTATCATTTTGAAGAAAAAATCAATCGGTATTTTAACATTTTTAATCCATTTATCCATTTAAAAATGTATCCATTTTTAAATGTTTATAAATGTCTATGTTAATTAGCTTCCGGTGATAATGTTAGCAACATGAAAATGTTGAAATAAATCTTTAAAATATTTATGCATTGTTCCTACTATGTACAATATACCATTGAAGTTATTATTATTAACGTGAAATATTTATACAGTGAAATATATATATATATATATATATATATATATATATATATATATATATATATATATATATATATATATATATATATATATATATATAAGATATATATATATATATCTTATATATATAAGATATATATATATATATATATATATATATATATATATATATATATATATATATATATATATATATATATATATATATAAGTCACTACATAAATGTGTATATACACCACTGTAGCACAGTGGTCTGCGTGGTGGGCTCACACTCGAGCAGGAGCAGGAGCAGGAGCAGGAGCAGGAGGACGAGGAGACACAGGTCACAGTGACTCAACACGAAGGGATCACATTTCGCCAAAAAGCCTTGTTGCTTGTTCCACGCGTCTCGTCTTGAGTTACACGCTGAGGTGATAGGGGGGACTTGGGGAAGGTAGGCAGACAGGCAGACAGGTAGGCAGGCAGGCAGACAGGTAGGTAGCTAGGCAGACCATATCATTTGCCTCAATACGTACCGGAATCGTGGTACTCTCAGACACAGGGTACTGGTACCTATTGAGAGGCGAAATTGGAGTGGATACGATACGTTACCCAATTCGAATTGGAAAGCTCCCATTAGGAATGTGAATTATACTCACTGATGCTGGCTGGTGTTAGGTTTCATACGTGAGATTGTTTAAGGAGAGAGAGCAAGACAGGGAGATATTACTCTTGAAAGGAGAGGTAAAGTATCTTTGTAAGAGTCGGGTGGTGAGGAGTGAGGGGAGGTGGGGAAGTGAGGACTGGTGAGGGGAGCTGTGAGGAGGGTATAGGAGGGTTTGAGGAGAGAGAGAGAGAGAGAGAGAGAGAGAGAGAGAGAGAGAGAGAGAGAGAGAGAGAGAGAGAGAGAGAGAGAATATGAGTGGTGATGGTAGGTAAGGTATAAGAAAATGTGATGTGTCAAGTGAGGTCTGTGTGGTGAGGGGAAATGAGGGAATGTGGTGCTGAGTGAGTGAGGGGGGGGGGTGGAGGAGAGACGTGATGTAACGTAATATCAAGGAGGTCGTTACAATGTGACATCGTAGTACGGAGTCACGTAAGCTCCCCCCCCCCCCCTGGCTTGCTACGGCCCTGAGCCCTCGCTAAGCCGGCGCCCACCTCCCCAAAACGACCGTCAGATAAATCTAACCGGATAACAGGACTCACTCACATTTAAATGTCTCCTTACGAAACCTCTATATCTTACAACAATCATCACCGCTTTGATTACATTTATTAAACAGCTGACAAGCTCAAATTCACAACCCAGGGATATTAGTGTTATAAACAACCTCGTAGATGCTTTAATAAATGTAAACACAGCCGCCAATGATTGAGGAAAGATGTACGGGTTTCGTCAGGGGTTGTGTAAAGAAAATAAAACTCGAGAGGTCTGAAGGAACTGAGATTATTGTCGTTATCACATTTGGTAAAATATGTAGTGGAAAAAGTTTTTCACGAGCGACCTTGCCAGGATTCGAACCTGGAATCTTCTGATCCGTAGTCAGACGCGTTATCCGTTGCGCCACAAGGCCGATGAAGTAGCGTGGGGTTGGGCCTTTAACCTATCAACTCCTTGAGGGGTTGTGGTCGTCTTAGGCACCCCTGTGGTCGTATTTAAGACGACTCGTGTCTAAGAAGTGTTTAAGTCGTAGCTCAGTCGATTAAGGCAGCGTCTGGGATGCTCTTGGACGCAGGTTCGAATCCTCGTCACGGCCCTTGTGGATTTGTTCGCTTAAGACGACTACATTAGTATTTTTATTTTTTTTTCTTACACAGACGACTACTGACTCCTGATACCAGGCTGCGAGCCTTCCCTTCCCATACCAAGACTTACCATGTACTAGTCCCCCCCCCCTGGAACACGACCCGACAATCGGTTAACAACCAGGTACCCGATTACTGCTGGGTGAACAGGGATGAATAGTTAAGGACATGGTGCCTAGTCAATCCTCCCCGGCCAGGCCTCGAACCCAGAACAAAATCGCTAGTGAGGTCAGTGGGGGGGTAACACACACACACACACACACACACACACACACACACAGACACACACACACACACACACACACACACACACACACACACACACACACACACACACACACACAGTCATAGATTTAAACTAGCTAAACACAGATGCCGAAGAAATATAAGAAAATTCACCTTCGCAGAGTGGTAAACGGTTGGAACAAGTTAAGTGAGAAGGTGGTGGAGGCCAAGACCGTCAGTAGTTTCAAAGCGTTATATGACAAAGAGTGCTGGGAAGACGGGACACCACGAGCGTAGCTCTCATCCTGTAACTACACTTAGGTAATTACTTAGGTAATTACACACACACACACGACCATCCACCAAGGATCAGGATGGTGGAAAAGCTCTACTTGACCGTATCGATAATATATTAACATATGTACATTATGTACATATGTACATTATGTACATATGTACATTCACATTACATGTGAATGTAAACATTAAAATATAACAATAACAAAGCAAATAAAAATGCATTCTGATGTTATTTAAAAACAGTCGAGTATTTTAATTCATTTTCTTATTGTTTTTTATTGGTTTTTAATTTTTTGGTACAGATGATTGAATGAATAAAATAATATTGTTGTAGAGTAAGTGTTCAGCCATACTGGTATACTGCTGGTATACACCGAGTAGCTGGGTATACTGCTCTACTGGGTATACTGCTTGAGTGGGTATACCTCTCTCGTGTCTCTATGACGGGGTGTTGGCTGTCTTGTTGGGGTGGAGGGGGTAGGGGGGGGGGGAATGGGGCTGTTGCAGATGCAGAACAGTCAACAGGTCGTTATATAGGCTTAAACAAGGCTGTAAACAACCTAGGCCTCATATGCACTTCCTTCATGTAAACATAAATAACCAAAAATACAATGACACCTCTATGATTAATAATCAATCATAAAAATAAATATATACACTGATTATGTTGACCAGACCACACACTAGAAATTGAAGGGACGACGACGTTTCGGTCCGTCCTGGACCATTCTCAAGTCGATTGTGAGAATTGTGAATTGTGATTGTGAAACGGAGAATGGTCCAGGACGGACCGAAACGTCGTCGTCCCTTCAATTTCTAGTGTGTGGTCTGGTCAACATACTTCAGCCACGTTATTGTGACTCATCGCCTGTATACACTGATTAGCCTCATTTTAAACGTATGCAAATTTCGGTCAATAATAATGATAATTTTGTGTTGTTTAAGTCTTTGATGTGTTCTTCCCCCCCCCTCCTAGTTCCCCCCCCCTCCTAGTTCCCCCCCCCTATTTCACCCCCCAGGACCCCCCTCCCTTCACCCCCTCCCCCCCGATCGGAGGCTGGAATCACACACACGCCATTCATACCCAACTTACTACTGAATGACTGCGCAGTACGTCAAACTCATTCACGAAGTTGTAGTAGTAGTAGTAGTAGTAGTAGTAGTGGTGGTGGTGGTGGTGGTAGTAGCAGCGACTGTATGAATGAATGAATGAATGAATGACGTAGTGTGTTGACATAGCGATGCTGCAACGCGTGTGAGCGGTTGTGTGGAGTGTTTGGGGTGAGTGAGGGGGGGGGGGGTTGGGGGAGTTGGGGGAGGGGGGTTTAATGGCGCTGATGATGCCTGTTGTGTTTGGATTGGTTGTGGTGGAGGGGGGGGAGGGGGGGGTAGGACCTATATTTCCCTATCATATCAACTTTCGAAATTTATAAGGGAAGTTCTTGAACCTCCTTCCACTACTAAAACGGTAAAAGAAAACTTTCTTAACAGCTCTATGTGACTCGTCTGAGTCTCCAGCATTAATCTATGCTCTCGTGTTTTAATCTGTCAATCCTCATGAGTATTTTATACGTCTTTATCATGTCTCCCCCTATCATTTATTTCCTAGCATCGTCAGGCCTAGGTGGATGGGGGGTACTCACCAAGTTGTAATGACCGAGATTTGCTTGCAGAAGTTGAGCTTTGGCTCTTTGGTGCCGCCTCTCAACTGTCAATCACCTGGTTTACAGGTTTCTGAGCCTTTTTGGTATGTTGTGGGGGGGGGAGTGTGTGTGTGTGTGTGTGTGTGTGTGTGTGTGTGTGGAAAATGGGATTTACACTATATTGCAAGCCAATATAAGCCTTCAATCACAGTAGCGAAATGATTAGACGTACGGCAAGTGACACCTCCTCCTCTTCCTACCTTTCTAATTAGTAGAATAAACACCTTAATATTTCCGTACTTTCACCTGTCCAAAAAACCATCCATATTTGCCTGTCCTTACCTGTCTAATAGACTATTTAGACGGCAAATAATTAACTGTTCTGGAAACAGTTCAGCAAACCCGAGGTGATTTTTTTAAGGTTTCTAACAACTGCAGTTCGTAGCTGTTGTTAGGGGCATATGATGACAGTTGTCCTTACCTTTTGCCAGTTGTCCAGAGAGTGGTAGGTGTTGTAACTGACCTTGGGGGCTGTTGTTGAGGGTGGAGAAGAC